AGGAAGGAAGGAAGGAAGGAAGGAAGGAAGGAAGGAAGGAAGGAAGGGAGGGAGGGAGGAAGGAAGGGAGGAAAGAAGGAAAGAAGGACAACATGTTCTCTCATTTATATAGATACTTAAAGTCATTTTTATACATGGTCAAAATAACTGATATCCCTGTATATATGAAAGTGTCTTTATGAAACCAATTTCTATGTACAATGAAGACACTGACTAAAACATTTAAAACCTGGGGCCGGAGCTATTGCTCATCAGTTGAGAGCACCTAACTGCTATTTTTGGAGGACTGGAGTTCAGTTCCCGGCATCCAGTTGAGTGACTCACAACAACCCATAACTCGATGCCCTCCTCTGGCTACCCTGGGCACCTACGCACCTGTACATGTGCATGCCTGCAGGCGTGCATGAGCACACACACAAATGAATCACAAAATACATCTCTTACATTAAAAGCCTTTCATTGTTGTTGTCGGCCACAGTGACACATGAATGTGATCCCAGAACTTAGGAAGTGGAGGCAGGAGGACAAAGGTTAAAGGTCACCCACAACTACATTCTACCCTGGGCTACATGACTACCTGGGTCAAGACTAGCCTGGGCTACATGAGGTCTTTTCTCAAAGAACCTGAAAGCTATTTTTAAACGGGTATGGTAGCACCTGCCTGTATTCCCACTATTCACAAAGGCGGAAGCTGAGTATAAGCCCAGCACGGGCTACATAGCAAGTACAAGGCCAGCTTAGCTTCCCAATCAATCAGTCAATCAAATGGACAGGCAAAAGCCCTATTCTCAACAAACTCCAACTTTGCTTCATCATTTTTCTTTTAAATTAAAGACAAAGGTTGGTAACTTGAGATGATATGGTAAAAGAAGGTGTGGTACAAGGCCAGGCAGAGAAGGAGCCCTGCCAGAGGGAAGGCAATGTCATTGGTGAAGTCATCCGAGCCAGAGAGGCACTTTAACCCTTAAGTAGATCTAGCCTTAGGAAATAAATGCCTGTCCTGCTTTGGCCTGGGGCAGAGCCAGCTGTTCTCAGTTATTTATTCCTCCTTTTTTCATACAAAGGAACCGTGAGGATACCGAACACGTGGAGGGAAGCGCCAGGGGGACTTACTTAGGGAACTTAGCAGAATAAGGTCAGGAGACACGAGGATCACACAGGTGTTTATATTTACCTTTGTAGTCCAAAGCGTGAAAGATTGGAGATGGAGTGGGCTGAAGGAATTCAGCAGACACCTTGTCCAAGGCCAAGGCTTCATTCCCCCCAGTGGCTGAAGGGACCTATGGAAGGCACTCTCCTTGAACCCAGTCTCTTCAAATGTTAGAAATCAAGTGCTTGACTCTGCATGGTCATCTTAGGTACTTCAATAAAACAGAATTTTGCTACTTTCACAGTTGCCCACTTCCCATTTCCCGTTCCGTTTTCTCCTTGGCTGTTTTAATTACCTCAAATTGTATCACTTCAGTATCCTTTTATCACCATTAACAAAGTAAATGTGAGTTTCTATTTAGCCAAAATAGAAACTGAAAACTCTTACTGCTACCAACAGGAATAGGATTGTCCTAACATTGCTCTGTGCTGTATGCTTAGACTATCATTGCGGGGTGGGAGATTTAAAAAAATATGTCGAAAAACTTATCAGAAAACTGAAGCCAGGCATGGTGGCACATGCCTGTAATCTCAGTACTAAGGAGGATGAAGCAGGAGAATTGCAAGTTTGAGGCCAGCCTGGGCTATATAATGAGACCCTGTAAAAAACATTAGCGAGTACTTATTGTGTACAAAATCATAAAATCTGATAAAAGAGGAATGTGTTTACCCAAAAGTATGATACCCAGGCGCTTCCAAAGATTGATGGTGGCTTATTTATAGGAAATCCCATCGAATGAGAAACTGAGTTATTTCCATGATTGTCAGTGCATTGTCCAACCTTCTGCTCCCATCTACTAAAATGCACATGACCATGGATCGTTGATTTGGAAAGTCTATTCATTGGTCTATAAACATGCATCAAGATGTCAGATAACTCCTCATGCAGATTGGTTATGCTCCCAGACAAAGACACTAAAATAAATCAGACCTTCAGTCAGCAAGCAGTCAGCATGACCCAAAGAGGCAGAGACTGGGTGTCCTTCACTGGCCTTCTGTATCCTCCCTTCAGTGCCAAACACAGACTCAAACTGCTGACTTGCCAGCTTCCTCTTCTTAGCCCCAGAGGACTGGTCCTCCCAGACCCCAAAAGTTTAGCTACCTTCAGAGGGTGCCTATGTCTATAGTTTCAATTCTTAAGTCAGCTAGCACCAGGGAAAAGGAAGGACTGTGAATTTCAACAGCACAAGATGTTTCAAGAGTACACCATAAGAAAAATTGAAAACAAAACAAAACAAAACAAAAAAACAAAGATAGATTAATATTCCAAAGATTTAAAAAAATACGAAAACCCGCAAAGACATATTAAGGTCGTTTTTAGCTCTGCTTGAAGTCATTCTCATGCACACATGTCTGTCAGAACTATCTTTTAAAAAATTAAAAAAAAAAAAAAAAACGGTAGTTGAAATATCATCTGTGCATGTTTAATAAAATTGCCCAAGTTGGGGTTGTGTGTGTATGTGCGTGTGTGTGTGTAGCCAAAGTTTGCACGTAGAAATCAGAAAACAACTTTCAGGAGCCAGTTACCCCTTCCACCATGTGGGTTAGAGGAATTAATTCAGGTGATTAGAATTGTCCAGCAGCAAGCTCCTTCCCGGCTGAGTCATCTTACCAGTCCCCAAAGTAAAAGTTCTTCAAGGGGCACCCCTTCCCAGTTGCTTGAGATCAAGTAAGCCATTTCCAGGAAACACAGTTTCCCTCTTTTGTTTTGTTCTGTGCCGGTCAGGAAGCTATAAGGACTGGGTGCTAGGGGGAACAGGAGGGTTTAAGCTCCAGCATGGTCCTCTTGAGAACTGAAAAGGCCTCAGGCCCCATCCAGGGCCACCCATCACAAACCTACGTTTTGCAAGATCCCAGACGCTTAGGTGAGAAGCCAGGCACCTGGAGCCCCTTCCTTGTGCCCCTGCCCTCCCCAAGGCCGCACTGCTCAGCAAGATTGGTGCCTGACTTTCACACCTTCTTGATGTTGACTTAGCAATAAAAATCGCAACTCTGTGGGAGTAAATGCCTCCTGCCCAAGCCACAGCCCTGAGTTCTGGGAAAGCCCTGAACGAATGACCTTTGAAATCTTATGAGAGTTGCAGGGCCTCCAAAGAAAGCCAAAGTGAAAACAAAACAAAACAAAAACAAAAAAACAAAAACCCTGCCTCCCGCCTCAAAGTCCATTTGAGGGTCAGAGCTGTTGTGGCTGTTGTGTTTGCTTCCCCTTAAGTCACAGTAAAGTATTTACCTGTGGAGGACAGCAGGGAGAATCACAACTCAGCTCTTTAAAGTCAGCTGGGAACTTCCCTTCCTGCCGCATCTTTCTCTTCCTGCCCCAGATGGTTTTTTTTTTATCCTTTGCTCTTCCACCAGGGGGCACCAGCAGGCACTGGGTTGGCCACCACCTCCAATCAGATCCAGGACCTTGAGTGCATGCCTGGTGGTAGAGGAAAAATAAAAACAACAGAAGCCAAAACAGTCGTGTCTGTCTGGGCTGCCAGCCACAACCATGTGTGAGCATGAGGACTTGTCAGAGTCAGAATGGCCCAGGCGATGCCTGCTAAAGGGCTGTGTCTCTCAGACCCACTGTGATCTTAAAGCAGGCGGCCAGCGTGGCCCTGGCAGGAGCAGTACTCGCCTCGAGTTTGTTTTCTTCCTGAAAATTCATAGACATCACAATCCTGTGTGACCAGATGCTTGGTCCCGCTGCGATCGGCCATCTACTACTTCTGTCTCCTCAGCTCCGTCCCAATCCCGCTGTCCTAAGCCCTGGCCTTGGCTACCAAGTGCTCACCTGGCATCTGCCTCTCCTGAACCTGGCTTCTTAAACTCTTTGGGAACTGGCGGGCAGATCCTTCCATGGGAGCATATGGGTCACCTGTAGGGGTCTAGCGCCTGATGGAGAGGGAGAGATGAAGGATGGATAATGAGAACTGCTGCCTGACCTTGGGCAGCTCACAAATGTCACCCAGTTTGTCCTGGCAGCTCGTGGCTGTTTTTAAAGTAGCAGCTATCAGAATAGTCTCTCTCTCTCTTTTTTTTTTTTTTTTTAATTGTAGAGGTCACTGAATATAAATGGTTGAAACCTCAGGCTCTGACGCTGTAAATATTTTATTCAGGTTCTGGCTGCCTGTTATACTAACAGAATGACCCAACTTGCCTTCTATATTGTTTGAATGAATAGCCTGCCTCTCTCCTCTCTCTCTCACTCTGTGTGTGTGTGTGTGTTTATAGGATTGTGTATGTGGGTTCACATGCCACAGCATGTGTGTGGAGTCAGAAGACAACTTCTCGGAATAGACTTTCTCCTTTCACCTTTACTTGGGCTCTGGGGATTGAATGAGATATTGCCGGCTCTACCTATTGCTTAGGCCTTGACATTCCTCTCTCTAAAATGGGGATTACAAGGATTGTAGCGCTAACTCATCAGTTAAGGGGATTAACTATTCTTCCAGGACTCTGTTGAAGATATTGTGTACATCTCAGTTTTCCCGTCTATAAAATGCCTGTTGCACTGCCTGCCTTTTGTTCTTGTTGCAGCTAGTACGTATCAAATGTTAACTTTACGGCAGGCCCTGTTGTAAGATCTTTTTGTATTAGGTCATTTACGATGACCTACATCCTGGTTTTGCATATGAGGAAACCGAGACACAGAAGTTAGGGGTCAAACAGTTAGTCACAGGTGAAAGTGGCCTTCCAAGCCCTGCAGTCTGGCTCAGAGTCTGCCTTCTTACTCCTGTTACCACGAAGCCTCAAATAATGCAACAGTTCCGACTGTGCCCGGGGAGCAGGGAACACAGTGTCCACATGACAGATTGTGACTACAAACTCAGCCTCTTGGTGTTTTGTCTTCAGCTGGGATCCTTAACCAAACAAGGCATGGAGTTGGGTGACTGCTCTAGATGGCCCTGAAGCCTTTGTCTCAGCAGCTAGCACCACATCTGAGTTTGGGGGCTGAAAAAAGAAGTGTGGTAGATTCCTAACCCCCAGTACCACAGAATGTGATCTTGTTTGGAAGAGGAACCTTTGCAAATATAATCAGGTTAAAATGGAGTAGCTGGGGGTGGGGGCTCCCCCACATACCACCAGTGCCCTTTTTAAAAGGAAAAGTTTGAATACAGCCATGTTCTGAGAGACGTTTCTGCGGAGACTCAAGCAGAGCCATGCCCTGGAGTGACAGCCTACAAAGCCTCTAAGCTACAGGAACCAGGAGCCAGTCTTGGAAAAGATGTTTCCCAGTATTCCCAGAGCAGGCACAGTCTTGCAGACACACCTAACCTTAGACTACCAGGCCCCACAACTGTGAGACAAACATTTCTGTTGCCCAAATACATCTGGTTGGCCATGATTTACTATGGCAGCCCAGTATAGCAGGCATGTTTGTATGTATGTATGTATGTATGTATGTATGTATGTATGTATGCACATGAGATATGGGTACGCTACTGTTCTCTACCTTATTCTTAGAGACAGAGTCACCCATTAACCTGGCATTCACCAGTTAAGCCAGACCCACTGACTAGGGAGCTTTATGAATCTCCAAGTATCACTGCACTGCACCAGAGTTCAGACCATAGTTTTGGCTGGCAGGCAGGCAGGCAGGCAGGCAGGCATTCACCTTTCCTGTAAACACCAGTTTCACAAGATGACATTCCAGTTGCCTGCCTACCTACCTTCCATCTTCCCTGCCTGCCTTCTGTCATGAACAGTTGACTGAAATATGGCCCATGCAGCAATGACACAGGTCATCAGAGGGTATTCAGCATGTCCACACCAATGTACGCCGTGCCTAGACAAAGAATGAGGACATTAGCAGTGTCCCTGGAACCCTACAGCCCCTTCCAACCACTGACCAACAAAGGAGCCACTATCCTGACTTCTAACATCCCAGATTGGTTTTGCCTGGTTTTGAGCTTGACATAAATGGGATTTCACAGTACTCTTTTGTGTCTGGATTCTTTGCTCCTCCTTGTGTTTGAGAGAATTGCCTGTGTTTTGCATAGCAAGCCATTCAATGATCAAGAAGTGCATGGAGAAAGGGGAGGGGGCGAGCGAGAGTTACTAACACACAGCCACACAGAGTTGTCTCATTTTGAGATTCAATGCACTGTAATAGATCTGTTAAGAGCCACTTTCCAAAATCACTACCGCATCATCCCCATCCCCCACCCTATCTCTGCCCTTAGATTCCTACAGTCCTAGTTGTCACACTAGGCTGGCCCTGTGTAGCTGTTTTCCATGTGAATGAACCTGCCTCACTGTCCAAATAATCCGGAGCCTGGACCATCCACAGTTGGCAGTATGGCCCCTGTGTCTTCATAGCATCATAGCCACCTTCATCCACAGCCAGAGAGGCTGCCTGTCTTATTCAGCACTCTGGGTTGGCCCGCTCAGCCCCTCGGATGCTGACTTGAGTCTGCCCAGGTCATCAGTGGCGGGAGGGAGTCAGGAGAACAGGTCTGTGGCTCCCCTTTAAAACCACTGCAAAGAATCCCTCCCACGGCTTTCTCAGGCTCGGCTCTTCATCTGCAAGCACAGATGGCTTGCGCCGAGGCTGTGCCCTCCTCCGTGTCTTTGCCAGACTATAAATCATCTCAATTTCTTCATGCTCGCCAACTTTTTCAGGGGTCTCCCTTTTGCTGGGAACCATGACCTAATCCCAAGATGCAATTTTAGAGGAGCCCTAGGGCAAATCAGCAGGCCTGCTAGTCCCGAGCCTCAGTCCATATATGGTACAATCTCTGAGCCAACAGTAGAATAGACTGTAATGCAACACAGCTGATTCACCAGCTGTCCTTGCTCCCTAAGCTGTGCTGGCCCACTCCAGTTTCCATTGAGGTCAGCAAGGGCATCCAAAACAAAAGGTTAAGATAGCCAAAGTGCAGCAGGACTCTGTGCTTTTGGGTCCTGGCGATTTACTATTCATTTCTCTCTAGGATCCCAATTCCGGGGAGGCCTTGCTTTCTGGAATGTAATAGAATACTAATCTGTTATCTTGTGGGCGTGCCTGGGAGCTTCGAGGAGAGCAGACAGAGCTCAAGCCCAATTGCAGTGAGCTCAGTTCAGAACTGGAAGCAGTTGGAGAGCCCCACCCTAACCCTAGGCAGAGGTCAGTATTCACAGCCCAAAACTGGGGCATTTGCTATTTTGTTCAGTCTCCACCCTCAAGTGCACTTCGTTCATCTGGACTTTTGTAAAGTATTAAGAGCTGAGCCTAACAGTCCTCAGACAGCAGAAACAACTCAAGCCTGGGTTGCCAGCTTGTGGGGAAGCTCTTGAGAAGATAGATAACCACGTCCTCTATATTACCAGCCTCCTTACCATGCCTATTAAAGAGCAAACCATTATACTAGACTCTTCTAGTGGCCTGCCAAAACTGACTCAAACCAGTTTACCAATCTTGTTGTGTTTTCAGGAACTTGGCAAAGACATTGCTAAACGTAATTATTAAAAGATTGAGTTACAAAAAAAAATAAAATAAATTAAAAAAAGATTGAATTACATATAAATTACAACTGGATACATGAGATTTAAAACAGCAATGGCTGACGAAATGCTCTGTGAGTAAAGGCACTTGTCACTAGGGCTGATGATCTGAGTTTGACCTGCTACCTAGATCCATGTAGTGGAAAGATAGAACCATAGTTGTCCCTGACCATTTGGTGTTTAACCATTTGCAAAGGAGGAAAATGGTGAAATATCCTCATTGTATATGAACACCCAAGAGCAAACGTTAAATTCCCACACCCAACCACCAGGTCATGACTACCTGGCTTATGGCTCCCAGTTACTTATGCCAACATCTGGAGCCTAACTCCTAATAACCTCTCTGGAAATTCATTCATTGCTTCCTTCCAGTGTATGCCAACAAATTCTCTCTGGTTTTCCCTGTTCAATTAATTCTTTTTACTGCCTATATCACCAGCCTTACTTAAGGATTTCACAGACACTTACATTCTCACAAGACATTTATTCTAATCCAGAGGTAGAGGCAGGAGAATCAGGAGTTCAAGGGTAGCCTCTGCTATATAGTAAGTTCAAGACCAGTCTGGGTTATATGAGCTCTTATAACTTTATGCCATGTGAGTTTTTGTCTCAAAAAAAAAAAAAAAAAAAAAAAGAAAGAGAGAAAGAAAGAAAGAAAGAAAGAGAGAGAGAAATGGTAGGAAAGGCTTCAATAAAGACACAGTGTGAAGGCCAAATGCTGCAGAAAGAGCTGTTTTCTTTTCTAAAGGCAAGGCCTCATCCTGAATCTTAGCCTTAGCTCCCTGAGGGCTAGCATTATAGATGTGAATTATCACGTTCTG